TAAAAAAAAAAATAAATAAACAAAAAAAAAAATATTTCTTTTTAATTTAATCTTCATATTTATTTAATAATTTCTCCTTTCTTTGTTTTTTTTTAAAATTCTATTTTTAAAAAAACAAAAAAAGTCATGAATCGAACAAAGGTGACCGTCGCTTGTCAAGCCTGCCAGAAAAAGAAGGTCAAATGTACGGGTAGCGCACCTTGTACAACGTGCTCAAGAAGTGGCCACAAGTGCATTTTCTCCAATAATGCAAAAAAGCGAGGTCCACGAAACGGTAATGTGGAGGTCATTCGAACGTCGGCTCATAGATTAAACTGTGTATTACAGAAACATCCTGACTTACGCGACCAGATAAGTCAGATGTTAGAAAGTAATGGGAATAATGAGAATAATAGTAAACATTCTCGTCAATCCGGAAAAAGTGGATTATATGCTTATTTGGTACCCAAAAAACCTGATATTCCCATTAAACCGCAACGTTGTCAAGATCAGGAGGATCATCAATCTCCTTTCTTCTGTAAACCTATGCCAGTCTATCCCTCAAATATGCGAAGGGATCTACCTTCTAAACGATCCGATATTAATGGATACACTCCACTCACGTCACATAATATAAGTGAAGTAGTAGCTTCTGCTACTAAAAACACATCAATTAAAGATCTGACGTTGCCCCCCCCTTATTCTCAGTCTTCTATGAGAAAAGGAATGTCAATGTCAGTTTATAGTTCTTCCCTAGGAACTCAATTACTGCTTCCTGCACCTGATCTAGGAATAGGAATGGATTTCTTACAAAAATCCCTAATTTCCTCATTAAAAAAAAGTAAAGATGAGGATCATGTATCAACAGATGGATCCTTTAATGTGAAAGAAGAAAAGGATTCTGTTACCATTTCTTTACCTTCTTTACCTTCGCCACCTTCATATTTATCATCGCCAACCTCCACGTACTGCCCCCCTACGCCAACTTCTTCGAGTTCACCTCCTCTATCTCCTAGATCCTATACCGCAAAAAGATCTTCGATTCATCTTTTGTCCAAACCGGCACCTTGGCATGATTATATGGAGATCGATTATTAAGAAAAGAAAAGTTCGATTATATGACGAATTTGTGGAGATATGTTATCCATCATGATAACATAAATATCTATAGTAGACAAAATATGATTAAAAAAAAAAAAGAATCGGTTTAATATTTTAATAGTGTCATTCATATTGACATGACATAAAAAATTAATTTAAGGTAATTTAATTTTCACACACGCACAAAAAATTTTTTATTAAGTTAAAAATTTTTTTTTTCTTAAAAAGAAAAAAAAAAAGAAATAATATGTTTATAAAGTGTGGAGATTAATATAAAGATTTATTTTTTTTATTATTTTTTTTTATTCTAAGAATTAGCAAACATAAGTTATATATTGTTTCTTTTTACTAAAAAGAATTCAATTTCTTGTTAATATTTTTTTTTTTATTATTATTGTTAAAAAAAAAAATTAAAATAAAAAAAATTAAGTTGTTAAGGATAAAAAGGGACACTGCGCCATTTATACACTGCGCCATTTCTATACTGCGCCGCACGCTTTAATTTTCTCCATTATTTTCGTTACCATTTTTGTTAATAATTGTTTTTTTTTAAAAAAAAAAAAATTTCAGACTCGGCACCGAAAATACAGTAAATTATTAACAACAATCTTCTTTTTCACTCAATATTTCAATATAACATACTACAATTACTACGTACATTATTATGTATATATATAAATTCATAATAAACAATAACAGATAGCCAAAATATTATCTCAACTGCGCCATAAAGATAAAGTGACGTTTATCTTTCAAAAAATATTTAAACATTATGTTTAAATGCATTGCATATTATTATTTTGATTTCATACAATTATTAACAAGCAGCATGAAGATAAGGCTCATGATCTCATTGGCATACGGAACTCGGATAAAAGTATAAATAAATGAAAATATGCTGTTTGTTACAAATGAATATCGAAGAATGTTAAGATTAAAATATGCATTACAATAATCTTTTCTATATTATGTTGTCTTTGTGTACTTTTGTTTGGATTTTCATTTGAAATGTTTCCAATGCTACAACATTTAGGGTAATTATGTGTTACAAAGAAATCACATTTTTTTTTTTTTTTTTAAACGAAGTTTCCATTTTAGCGAAATCATTTGGAATCAAAAATTATACCGGATCTAAATGCTTCAACATGAATAAGATCTTTTTTTTTCGGAGGTTTTTTTTTAAAAATTCTCTTTTTTCACTTCATTCATTTTAACATTTTTGTCCAAATGATGTAAAATATAGTAATTTCATAATAAGTATTATATCATCTCTTTAAGAATTTCTATTTATCGGGATTTCTTTTATAGTGTACATACAAAATGTTACAAATTTAGAAGTCTAAATTGTAAATGAAAGAAAATTTATAAAATCGCCAGTTTAATAAGTTGAATCTTATTTATTTCTCTCGTTAATTTACTATATTTCAGAGAGATTGATCATACTTTATATTAAAGACATTATTAAGCTGCGTAGAAAACATATCTGATATAAACTTGCAATGGAAGAAGAGAAAATAATCCCAGAAGGGTCAGAACAATTCTTTAGTAAGTCAATTATGAAAGAATCATATTTTATTTATTTATAAGAAAATGTTTCGTTTCATCATCTTTTTTTTTTTTAGTTGAATTTGCGAAGAAGAATTACATAGAGTTAAGTATTGTTGGATCACTTTTTGCGTTCGCAATATTTGTTTACTTAATTGGACGATGTAATAATAAAAAGGTATTAGATATTGAGAAGAACTTTTGCTATTTTTTTTTTTTTTTTGATTTAATATAATTTATTTAAAAATTTGTTTTATTATCTTTATTAGGGAAATAATTTTGTAATGTTCAACTTTCTCTTTATATGTTATGACTTAGCATTTGATATAGCATTTCTTGTAAAAAATGCGAAGGATGTTCCAGGATTATTTAGACCAGCGTAAGAAATAATAAAAAAGTTTTTTAATTATTTAAATAATTTGATATCTTTTTTAACTTTTTGATACATAATTATATAGGTTATTAATTTTAATAATATCAGGATCAATTAACCTAGCGATGAGCTTTGCAATAATTATATATCAAAGAATTTGTAATCCAGCATTTTCAAATTGGCTTAAAGAAAATAATAGATTTGCCGCTTTAATCACAATATTCTCGGCGGCGAATATACAAGCATTAAAGATTATTTCATCAAATTATGGGGGAATGGACGTACTTCAAGTAAAATATTCTTCTAATGGACAAAGGGCTATTGCTTGGGGCGGAGTCTTAAATCTTGCTTTCCAAGATATACCTCAATTAGTTATTTTGGTAAGTAATAAAGACGGGCCAGCGTAGGGACATTTTAATATTTCTAATAGCCTGTCTTTCCTTATTTATTAGGTAAAATATTGGATCAAAACGGAAGGATATGTATTTTTTCCTTTTATAAGTCTAATATTAAGTGTTACGATTTTATTTATTGATTTCTTTGGAAGAATTTATGATGCTATCATTATTTCAAATGATGATGATGGAACAACACGTCGTGTGAATAATCGTTCAAGTGATAGTTCTTATCAATACAGTATGCGAGTTGGAGCTCCTTAATTGAAACAACGGATATTGATAAAAAAAAAAAGGACTTTTTTTTAAAAAATTTTAATAAGTACAAGTATACTAAATAGAAATATAATATAATTTGTTTTTTTTTTTTTTAATAAAATTAATAAAATGAAAACATATAAAACATATATAAACATATAGATGGCACCGTAATAAATATATAGTACGTCATTAATATATTAATATATTATTATGTATAATTTTTCGCAGGGTTTAATGTTTATTTTCACAATGTATTTTTAAAACCCCTTTAACTGTTTCAACCGTTTCAATAATTTTTGAAAAATGGTAATAATATAAATACACAGTAGTGATACAAAACGGGAAGGATATTGATATTTTAGGTAGGTGACAATAAGTCGGTATCAGTATCTAAAATTTTTCCTATTGCACGAACAGTGTTTAAGTAATCATACCAATAATACACTTATTGGTATCGATCCTGCGGGAGTAACCGATATTTTGCCCCCCTAATTCCGAACAATTATGTTATTATATTGGTGTTATTTTAAAACCTTATATAAATAAACAAGTTCATTTGTGCTTTCCTTCTTGGCAACGGCGATCATATGATCTAAATTGAACATAAATAATAAATAAATATTATAATATAAGCAAAAGCACCTTTCATAATTATTTTGCCGGAAAAACGATTAAAAATAAACGTAAATGTTTATGATTAAATTTACCGTGTATGTTGCGATTTTCAAGATATTTATTTACACTTAAACTCCTATTTTTTCCGTACCCCTCCCCCTATTTTTTGATTATCCGAGACTAAAAATTCATCGGAATTTCTCCAAGTAGTACAAAAACTCAGTACCTGATCACTTAATAATTCACGTATAACTCTAATGTATTTTTGCATTTGTGACTATGTTATTTTTTTGTGTCATATTCTCTTAAAGAGGATACGAATAAGGAATACTGGGAAATTGTTAAGTAAATAAGTTTCTATATATACTGTACATACTACTAACTACCAATCTGCTGCGTTTTATGTTAACTTTGCACGACAAAATATTGAAAAAATTTGTATAATTTTACCCGTTATTATTTATTTACACTTTTCGATTACGAACGAACCAATAAAGATTAGAATAGATGTGTTAAAGTAACGACTGTTAGTAGATTTTACATAATAGATTTGATTATCCTATCGGCATTATATATATACCGAGGGATTCTTTTTGTCCCGGACCCCCGGTATAAAAAAGTATAAAATCCATCGGTGTATACGTCATACACAATCAGATAACCATCTTTACGCATAAATTTTTTTTATTAAATCTTGTTATAATATCCATATACGATCGGAAATCATGATCTTTTTGTTTTAATATCATTGAGCCCTTTTTTTTGTGTTATTCAGGTATATTATAATATAATAATTATTCAATTTTTTTTAAGAATTTTACGAATTTTACTTTTATAAAAAAAATTTGTAAAATTCAATATTATCTAATGTTTTAATTAACTATTATCAATTTTTTATTATTATCATTATGGTTCTATTATTAAATAATTGATCTGTACACATATTTTTATTAAAAATTATTAAAAAAATTAATATTTAAAACAGAGAATTCTAAATTTATGTTTGTAAAATAGAAAATAATGTTTGTGCGCAATCTACAATATCTACAATTACAATTTACAATGGTGATTTATTAAATGATTTAATGTCACGACTGCCACGTGTGTATCACACATCATGCAGCTAGTTTATTCTTTGTTTAAATTTTAAATTATTAGTTATTCAATATAATTTTTTTATTTATTGTACGCAGTCGCTCCACATGAGTTCTGACTAGCCGATGTGAGAACCAGGGAAGATGTTTGGTTAATGTTAATCGCACAAGTAGATCGATTAGGGTTATATAATTCTTATTTTAAATCCAATTAATCCAATTAATCCAATTATAAGCAATATAAAAAAATATATATTATCCTATATTTACAAAACAAAACAAAAAAAAAAAAAGTAAAACAAAAATCAAATCAAATTAATGAATGATAATTAGTACAAAAATGTCAAAATCATATTCGTAATCTTATGAAGATAACGTTCATTTCTTTTTTTATCAATTTATCATATGTTTTTTATTTACAAATAAAAAAAATTAAATTTTTTAAAATTCCATAATTTTAAAAACTTGATCAAAAACCTGATTCATGTGTTTGATTTTTTTGAAATATTTTTTTATCATTGGTATAATTGATGTCAGACAAGTTTTTCATGATTTTTTAAAAAAAAGGTGATTCTCATGAAAATTATATTTACCAATACAAGGTAAGAAAGAACTTTTAAAGATCGGAAAAAAGTTTACTGCAAAGATATAGTTAATATAGTTTTACTTATATAGAACAATCGACATCCATACAACTTCTTAATTTTTTTTCCGGTTTTTACGATCGTCACAAAATCAATTTATAATTTCTCACCTCATTTCCAAACACATTTGATTTTCACTCGTTAATATAGATTGTCAAATTTTCAATATGTGAATAGCCAATCAATCTATTTGTTACTTATAAAAAAAAATCCAAGGATTTTGATAATATAATTTCATTTGTTCATATATTAGAATATTTGTGATCACGTGCAATATATTTTTGCGAGCGCATTTATTTCACCGAAAATCGTTTCATCGACTCATCGACAATCAACTTACCAATAGACATTTTACATACAGGATCATTTCACCTACAATTTGTTTCAGTGATGGTCATTTCACCGATAGGTTCATTTTATTGACAGGATTATTTCACCGAGAATTATTTCACCGACAAATGATAATAAATGAATTTTTTATAATAAAAATATTCATTGATTATATTTTTGTATTTTTCGTCCTTTCGTTAGGGTTTTGTTTTTTATCGCACCCGCGAAATATCGCATCCCCTTATAAAAGTCGAAAACAGTATTCTAAATCCTTTTTGATATTCTAAATATATTAAATAAAATTGTAAAGCAGGCAAAAATACGCATACTATATGGTTTTTTAAAGCGTTAAAATAAGTATGTTGTAGACCAAATCTAAACCAATGTTCCAAATAGTGTTGGTCTCCGTAAATAGTTGTAAGTTCCAAAAATCAAGTAAATATAACGGTTGTAAATCAGAATTACCATCTTTTAGCTAATCACAATGGTGTAGTATTTACAGCCAATTTACAGCTTACGTTTATAATATTACAACCGCTAAAGGTTGTAATTCGATATATAATAATCGTTACTTACGGCAACCAACCTTAGTTCCAAACCTTACCATCGGCCTAAATTAGATCATCATCGTTGGTACAGTCTTTAAAAGGCATTATTAGATTTGGCCGATAATTTAGGCCGATGGTAAGTTTTGGGACATGGTCAAAATTTGGTCTACAATAGGTACATTAAAGGTAAAAAAACAAAAAAAAAAAAAAAATCGAGAAAATTTGGCAAAGATCGGCAAATTATTATATAAAAATTGGGGAGCGATACATCGCATATGCGAAAAAATATTATAATATTAATTATTCAATATTATTTCATAATATATAATAAACGTTAAATATAAAATATTTAATTTATTCAACATTTAAAATTAGTTATAAAAAATATTAGAAAAAAAAACATCAAATTAATAATTTTTGAAGTTGATCAAGCAAAGTAAAAAATAAAATTCGGGGAAAATGATTTTTTTAGCTGAAATGACATGATATTAGATGAACAAATTTACCGGTGAGTTGATTGTCAGTGAAACAATTGTTGGTGAATCCGAATTTCCTCTGCTAAGTATATGTCATTGATCTTACGAATGTTGACGTATGACATACATTTTTTTCTCTATAATAGATTAATAGTATATGTATATGTACGGTATCCGATCAAAATCTCGAAAATCACTTGCACGACTAACACAAGATCGACAACAAAATCTCGACAATCCAAATCTCGACAATCCAAAATCCCGACAAGTCATTAATATATCGACAATTTTGTAAATCTAATGATGTGTGTTCTAATAAAATAATTTGTTGCAATATGTAATATTTAGTTTAAATTTGGTAAATTTTATAAAATTGTCAGGATAATCAACTTGTCGGTATAATAATTTGTCGGGATTTTGACTTGTTAGGATTTTGACTTGTCAAGATTTTGTTGTCGGTCTTGTGTCAGTCGTTCAAAACCTTTATGTACATAAGAAATTTTTATCCATTATTTCTGTAAAAACTCCTTAAAAATGAGCCTTTATCGAATTATTTTTCACTAAAATTTTATTAAATATATGATATTAGTTAATAATACATTTAACAATTACTTCGTATATACATAATAAATGAAATGCTAAAGAATACAAAAATCAGTGAAGTTATACAATACAATCGATTATTTTCCTTGTTTTTGTAATGGAAAATTTTGAATTCTGGTTAAGAATTAGAAAGAGATAATTTGAATAAAGGTACTGAGTATATTGTGGCACGTAGAATGAGACGATTGTAGGTAAAAATTGCATAATTGAAGACGGTTACAGTACATTTCGCCGAAGGGATGTTTCGTCGAAAGGACATTTCATCGAATTCCATTTCGCTGAATGGACATTTCGCCGAAAATGGTAGCGATTAACCTGAAAAATATTCATTGCGCAATGAAAATAAAGAAATAAATTATTTTAGAGATCTTTATTTTTTTCAGGATATTATCACTTTAACATTCAAGTAACTGATATTAATTGCTAAGCAATAAATAAATTTCAAAATTCATCCCGGTTTTAAGGTATAAACGGTATAAACATACGAAAGTTTCAGAACCACCGATCACAGAAATTGAAAGAATTTTACTTCACCTTCAGAAACAGCGTGTTTAGCCAGTTCGTCAATTATACATACCATATTTTGCGTAAGCCCCACCCTTGCCAGAATTCTGGCGATTTTGACCAGAATTATGAGGATCTTGGCCGGCATGAAGTGCTTATATACCGCAAAATACGGTATTAATTATAATAATTTACAAACCCAAACCGTATGTACAGTATACATCACCTTCGCCTCAAGAGATTTCTCCTGTTTTTATAACGGGCGTGCCATCACCCTACACGACACGCGAAAGTCATTTCCTTATGCTATAAAAGCCTCTTCCATCATGAAATCAATTAATAAAATATAACTTTACTAATCTATCTCATAAAATCAAAGTAATCAAATGAAAAATATTTTATTATATCCAAAAAAAATTACAGAAGGGGATATGGTTTATAATTACATGATCTTGTATAACACGGATGACTAGCTAGGGTGGACGCTTCGCATTAATGAAATGAAATAATATTAACTATATTAGGATTATGATTTATAATTTATAAAAATTTTCAGTGCTTTCTTTCTTACAAAATTAGTGCTACCTTACATTTTTTTTTTGAAAAAAAAAAAAAATTCTTACAATATTATCGTAACTCGTATGGGTTGTGTTATCACAGCACTTACAATGAACTATGGTAAGAAAATTTACAATTTAAGAATTAATATTAAATAAAAATAATAAATATTTGTTATCAGCACCACTTAAATAAAGGATTTACTTATATATATATATATGAACGGTAATTACCGAGTACTCCTCATTATGGATTTACAACATGCATTACCCTGTAAAAAAATTACAATCCCGAAAGTCTAGGCAGACATTTCTAATGTCAAGGGTAGCTAATCTCTTACGTCATATAAACTATCTTATGTTATTTCATATTCTAATATTTATAATCCTATTTATAACTCTGTGGCTAACAATCCGTGTTTTCCATTTTTTATAATCATAAATTCCGTGAATAAGATACAATTAAGGAAAACACGTATTTAAATCATTGTCGTGTTACACAAGGAAGCTAAAATCCTTAATTAGATTTACACTGTTGACTATGCATGAATTAGCAATTAATCAATATTTTACAATTAAAACATCTAATACATGTTTCATTTTACCCTTGGCAAAATAAAAAGTTTGTACATAGAATATAATCTTTTGGGATATTATTCAGTATTATAATAAAATCCTTTTCTATCGAAAAATAGTCACATGTTAAGAAAAAAAAATTTTTATCAGAAATTTAATTTTTAAAATTTATTGAATTTTTAATACATTCATATTTTTGTTGTTAAGTTATTTCCTTATAATATATATATATGTTAAAATACGTAAATCAGGAATTATATACTATGATTAATAAATAAAGATTTTGTTAAAGTAATTAAAATCACGAGAATTTCTTTAAAATTGAATTTGTGAATTGTCAGTAACCATTATTCGAGAGATCCTGTTGAAGGTGATTTTCCATATCTAGATTATTTAAATTTACGAATGGTGGAGAGGTAGGTACAATAATTATTTCGAATCCTGGTATTTCAAATCTAAACATTTGAGGATGATTTGTTTGAGGAAAATTAAATGGTGGGGAAATATTTTGAATGAATTGAGGTGAATTTTGATTAACATTATGTCCAATGTATTGTGGCACGTAGGATGTGGTTGTAGAATGATATTGCGTAGTTGTAGTAGTCGAAGTAGTATATTGATTGTTTATAAAAGAGAACGTGGCTTGTTGTTCATGATTATTTGATATATAAGACATTGTTGGCGTTGCAGGAAAGTTGGTATTATTACATGGGACATTCGACGAGGGCTGTCTCATTTGGATTACATTTGTTGGTGCGTTAGAATAATTATTAATTTCGTTATCAATAAATACATTTTGGATGTTATTGACATCGTTTCGTAAAATAGTATTATTATTGTGATCCATTGTATAATAAAAATGAAATTTCGAAAATTTCGAAGAGAAAAAAGTATAATGATAATTTTTCTACAGGAATATATTGTGGATCGTGCTTTTATATTGTTTTTTTTTTTTTTTTTTNTTTTTTTTTGAAAGAGATTCTCTCTATTCTAATTAAAGTCAGTAAATTTACAGCTCTACGCAATTTTGGTAAATTTCTACCAATTGTAGTTAATAATTTTTTTTTTTTCTATATTTAGCATGTCTTTATTACTTCCATATTTAAAACATTATAAAGCAAAATATTTCAATATCAATTGATGATTGGTTTAGATTTTTAACTGACTAGCATAAATGCGTTATTATTCGCTTTACATATATAGTAATAATTTTGAACTGCGGTTATTCCAATAATAGTTATACAATATTTCGTTTCACATATAAGGCTGTGTTGAAGAAGTAGTCATTTTATGTATATATATCACTCAAAAAAAGAAATAGATATTATTATTAAATAATTCCATAATATTAATAATGTTACGTAACGTGAATCAAATATGTTTATATAATTATTGATTTGTTTTACACAATATTTGTTTATGTACTAGGAAAAAAAATGATATCATCTAGACTAAACCAAATTCGTTTATTTATCTTTTATTTGTTTTAAACATTTTTAAGCCTGTCCTTTAATATTTTTTTTTTCATTCGTTATTAATAATTACTTACTATAAAAAATTCTCTTTTTCGACTTTTTTAACATATTTCGACCGATGTTCACTTAATTGCAATGGCCTGAATAGATATATTTGTTGTTTATTTATAGATTGTTGGAAGAAATGATGTCTACCTTAAAGGTCATACCAGGCTGATAGGCTTCTCTTGCTCTTTTTATTATTTTCAGGTTAGGTAAGTTTTAATCCTTGGAGAGTAAACGGAGTAAGCGGGACTTTTCTATATCACGTGATAGAGAATGATTTATGGCGTTTCGCGATAAATCACAAAAGTCATAAAATTTTATTATGAATACATAAATACAATATTTCACATTAATCATCCACATAATTTTCGCAAATTTTAACACATTTCTATACAATTATACACAACTTTTCATATAATATCTAGTTAATTCCCAAAATCCGCGGGCTGCGGCATTTACTATTTAGTAAAGGGAGATATCATTCTAGTTTATTCTAACAAAGTCATGTGAAGTTATCACAATAATATTAAAAAATTTCGTGAAAAGCGCCACAACATTTCAAAAGATTCACAATCACAACAATCACAAATAAATCACATATAAAAATTTACTTTATACCGGCCAAAATTGGTTCTTTACCCGCGAGCATCCTTATCTTGGATCAGTGGATCACGGTCCATATCCAGTGAGTTTAATTGGATAAAATTATTTTGTGTAACATTGAATATTTATTTCAAACAAAATTATATAGTTAACATCCATTAAATCTCTGAATCAAGTTATTATAATTTTTAAAGGGCGAAGTATTACCATTTTTACCATCTTAATAACATATCACAGAAATATTTATATAACAGTTCTAATACAGTATATACTTGTTATTCAATGAATAACTGACGTAATTTCAGATAATACGGCATTAAGGCGGCGTAACGATGAAACACCAGTATTACACCGGGCCGAATTGGTGTAAATGCGCCGTAATATTTCGGCATGGCTTGAACCTAATTCGCCCATGTATACCCGTGTATATGATAGATACTCATTGAATATCATTGTGTATATGACGTATACACTGATGGATTTTATACTTTTTTATACTTTTTTTATACCGGTGGAGTAATTTACAAAAAAATCCATCGGTGTATACATAAATACCGATGAGATAAAACAGATAAACTCAACCAAATATAATAACTAATAATATTAAACTACAATATGATGATTTTTTTTAAAAAAAAAAATGTACGTACTTATGAGAAATACTACAAAGAAGTTTAAATAGTATGAGATACAAGACACAACGAAATTCGATATACGATTTTTGACAAATTTTACGGATGGTTCCATTACAGTCAACTCTTCTTATAACGAATTTTGATATAACGAATTTTACAATATAACGGATCTTCAGTATGATACAGATTTTAACATATGAAAAAAATCTCATTATACCGAATTTTACTAATTAAATGCCGTATACCGTTTAACGAAGTAAATTTTATAAACCGTATATGAAAAATGCCCCTTTTAACAACGAATTTTCTTTTATAACGAATTTTTTTTCAATATAACGAAGATATTTTGTGTAACTTGCGTTTTTGCATTATAAGATACAATTATTATACGACAATATACCATAATATACAAAATTTTTCCGGGTTATACCAGATTTTCCCATCATATTAACGAATATTCCTATAACGAAGGCCTGATCAACCCGGACGCCAACTTCGTTATATTAAGAGTTGACTGTATATCGAACTTCACTGTGTATATAACACGAATAATTAAACACCAGATATCTATTATGTTGACCAATCAAATTTGACTTGTCAAGGATAAGACTCATAAGAGTTGTCCAGGTTAGTTTTACAAGAGACCAAAAACACGTGATAAATTTTATTTATAATAATTGCATATTGATACGGATCAGCTTACAAAAATAGCATAGTGGCCCTTTTTTTAAACATTTAGAATGTAATGACAATATATATTACTCTTCTCCCACTTGTACAGATGCTTATTTTATTTATAATGTTTAGTTTTCCACGACTTCTGATTGATATATTCATAATGTTCTCTTTCCTAGATAGTTTTATTTTTGGTTCCTTTATTGATAGCGATTTAGGAATAGGCTAGGATTTTATATAATTAGAAGTAAGGGTCCGACAGGGCTTGCCCTGGTGGATGACAGATTATATGTTGAACGTACGTTCTTTGTATCGTATGTTCTTTTGACGATCTTGCCAACTTCACATAAAATAAATAAAATAAATAAATAAATAAGCTTACAAAAATAGTATCGATAGTATCTAAAAAAGTTTAATTCTTTACGGTACGTCACAATTCACAAACCAAAAAAATGTAAGCTCACATTATTACTTAATGAATTCATCATTAAATGAGAATGTTACATTTTTATAACCTTAGAAGGAAGGTTTATGTTACACCGCATGAAATTTTAATTGTTTCACGTGCAAATGACATTAGTTTAAAATAACATAATATAAACATGGAAATCTATTCTTACGCTCTCAGCTCTGAAAAAAAACACGTAATATTAATTTTCAGGTAATGAAATTAATAATGCCTCATATTTGAATTTTATTAACCATTCATTTATAAATTTATAATTTTCTAGAAAAAAGTGTTCTTGATTTTGAGAAAGAATATGGTTCGAAGCTATCTCAATCGAATACCAACTTTAAAAGACAAATGGCGTGTCAGTGATTATTAAAGTACCTATTGTTGTTATATTTTACCTGTTTTATTATTGTTGCCATAATGTTTTATTCGCGTTAATGACACTGTTGCGTATAAATTAGTATTTTATTTACACAAATTCAATATATGTTCTTATTAACTTTATTGTCGAGTGTGGTATGGTCAAGTAATATCTCATGAAACAAAATTATTTCAAATTACATTATAATTTGGTTTATAAATAATATAATTATTATTTATTTACACCGTATTAACCGTAAATTAAGTAATTATTCATATACATAGGTTTTCTATTATCTTAACTTTATATTAATCATTATACGAAAAAACTTTCATTATTTACGACTTACCAAATTTATTCAACAATTAGGGGTTTAATCCCGGAATCCTGATCTTAATCTCTATTTGTTCCTTTTTTAAACAGGTAAATTGGTAAATTACCACGGTTGATGATTATAATTATGTAATTTCATTTTCTTTATTACTAAGATTTTCATCAGATAATTTACTTCTTTTAGTGATGAAAGATTTTTGAACTGATCATTAAAGGCTTTGTGAGGATTATCAATTATTATCATTCGTCAAAAGAAATCGGATATATTTTTCCGTTCTGGATCTAAAGAAACTTGATTAAGGTATTAAAGTATCATCAGTTAAATTTTTTTGCTCGAATATATGCATTTTTGTTTATATATTTCTGGAAAATCATATTTATAGACGTTCGTTATACCTTCAATAATAATTGAATGTTGGGTATGCTATCAATTTCATTAATGATTATTTTATTTGTATAAAAAAAGAAATTTTTTCGTTATTATTGAGGTCAAATTATATTTTTTCTTTGATTTATTTCTTTAATGTCTTTTTATCTATTATATTTCTCAAAACTTGATAGGATATTCTCCTAAAAAAGCCATTCCAAATTTGATCTTTCCCCTACTTTCGTTCACGTAAGGCAAACAATCCTGGGAAAGGGGTCGAACTAATTTAAAGATCAACAAAAAATTTCTTTAATTAGCATACATTTATTCACATAATTGAATATTGAGTATGACCGGTATGTTATAAAATTTATTTAGATTTATTTATAATTAGATTTTCTTTGATTAAATATTTATTATAATTTATAATGCCTTTACATCATAACCAAGGATATTCGTCAAAAGTTGACTGAATATTATCCTGGATATTCGTCGAACAAGCTATTCCAAATATTAATTTTAATAAGTTACTAAAAAATACTATTATAGGACGTTCATTATATTAGATGGGTTATCAAATTTTATTGATGACTATTTACTTTTTACTTTTATCACAATCAACAAGTTTTATTTTCTTAATAATTTCTCATAGTATAATATCTTTAATGTCTTAGTGTTTAACATTGCACCAGTGGTAAGTCTTCCCTGTACGTTTGTCAAATGTAGAACTAATGTGGAGAGGTTGCACAACAAAATCTTCAAAGAGCTTATGGAGGTACTGCAAATAATCGTATTGTTCCATAGAGTCCTGAAATATCTTTTCACATTGAACATCACCAAATTTGATAATGTGGATTTATCCAACGAAAAGCCAAATCCAAAGTAGGTTAAAAATGAGG